CACGACAAAAAAATCGAGTCTCCTGTACCCATGCTACGTGAATGTGGTTGTGCATTTCATTCTTGTGTTGATACTGAAGTGTGCAAGTATTTTCGACGATCAGATTTCATCACCCCAGTTGACGTCTCCGATAATATCGACGCCCCACTCTTTGGCAATTTTCTGTATAAGCTCAGTGTTGAGTGGTTCTCGACTGAGAAACCGAGCTGCCTGTTGGAAATAGCCTTCTATGCCACCTGGAGAGAAGAAAAACTGTATACGAGCGGGTTGGGGATTATCTCGATACGGATTATTGCGCCATGCATGCAGAACGTTGCGTGGAGAAAACACACAGGTACCCTTTGGTGCTGTAACAGTTTGATTGTGAATAAAAAACTGTATTTCGCCTTCAAGTATGTAGAATACTTCCTCTTCGAATCGATGCACATGGAGTAGTGTGCCTAAGAATAAAAGCATAGAAAAACGAATATTTATTAAAAGATAATACCCTCTCCCGGCATAACTAGACCGTCCATCAGCATAAACTGGCCATTAGTCTGTTCTGAAGAGAGCTTGACACGGTATGGATGAACTCGAACTTTGAGAGCTTCCCCTTCGTCTTGAAACAAAGCGAAGGCACCGTCTCCAAAACTTGCTCCTTTTGAACCTGGATATAGCTGACTCACACGCAGCAATGGTGTATCGGGAAGTGACACTCCCGGTACGCCGCCTGCTTTTGGAAAGTTATTAAGTGGCAACTCTAGAAATATTTATGCTCGCAGTTTGCATTATTATATTTGTCACTCACGCTCTTCGGGTGCCGCTTCACAGATAGCATTAAAGATGACGACGAGATTGAGGAAGCTTTTCGAAAAAAACATCACGATGATTGATATGAAATACTCTTTGAAAATGTTATTCAATCGTTGGTTATATGTTTATAATGTTATTGGTGTATATATACATATATTCTTCCATCATCGATTTTTTCCTTTCTTGCTGAATTATAAACGATTTCACTTTTCGTTGGTTTAGTAAGTGGATCATCTCAAAAAAGGAAAAAAAATAATACGCAAGATCAATCGCTGCACGCGGTAAATAGACTATTTTGCAGTTTATATCATCTAATTTTGCAAGAACACAATCCTGTTTCACGTTTGCTTCACTAATCATAAGTAATGTAAACGATAATCATGAGAAATATAAGAGTCAAATTTCTAAAATCTATTATACAAGCTACCCATGTAAATTTACATGGGTATACGATGGTGTTCGAAAAAATGGTTTGGAATTTTTGTAGCATCACTACAGACTTCTTGTTTATTGCAAATCGGTACGCATGTGCGATAGATCCTGGCGATCGCAATTGAATATTGGTGGACTGCGGTAGATAATTCCGCATGCACTTGCGAAAATTCGTGACGGTGCTCTGGTAGGAATAGACGCTAACCTCGAAAGACACCTGATGAAAGGTTGCAGCTACAATTCAGGTCAAAATAGGATGCACGAATAAGAGGGAGTGAGTAGCTTCACAAAATAAGAAGCTGCATAGAGATGCAGTTGTTCGTAATCAAGATCCACATACAGCTGTTTTGTCTATTGTATAGAAAACTTTCTCGATCTCTATCCTGGCCGAGAAGCAACATCGAAACACCACAGAAACTTCGAAAATGTTTAAGTACTTTTAATGTTAGCCAAACGTTCTGGTAATTAAGAGACTATGTCGCACAAAAGGAACCTTGAATACGATAAAAAAAAGCCTTAGAGAGCTTCAGTGAAGACACCGACAAACTAAGGCACTCGTAGAATTTTGTTTTTTTGATTTAATATGTGTTTGTGAATCAACGATATGCCAAATCTGCGCACATAAATTTTTAAAGCATTCAATTGAACCCATGAAACGTTAGTTTCGACCGACTTTTGAGTGCTCAACGACTACAATGAAGTAGTTATCGGAGTATTCTTTAGAAAATTTGAGGTCTATAGTCAAACAATTAATTAATTAACATTTTCAATGCAGCACAGAAGTAGATAGAGCCACGAAAGCTGAAGAAAGCTAGCCACATAAAAATAAGTAGTGCTAATACTTCGAATTCGCTGACTCTTTTCTGAGATGTCAGGAGAGACTACTACAACTAAGGTCAAAAAATATGGACCGTTTCCTACCGCAAATCTTGGGAAATTAATAGAAACTTCGAAGCAGGAATCTGGTGAACGAATTCGGTGGCTGATTTTATCTAGCTACCTTCATTTATAGACCAGTCACTGGACTCCTGCTTCCAAGGTCCGGTCATACCCATTGTCTGGGTTTTCCAGCAGAAGATGGTGTATTTTGCTTCGGTTGCCATCGGAATAATACGGATCTTGTTATCAAAAGCATTGCCCAGAGAGCTAAAGAAGAAAACAATGGCTTGAAACTCGTTATAGTTCTTGTATCCTCACTATTCCAGATTATTGTGTTCAAAATCTCATATTTCCTTCATACTTTTTCTGAAATTGGAATCGAACCTTGTATCTTTTGCTTTCCATCACAATTGTATCACCATTATACCAGAAAAGAGTGCTCTCTTCCCATCTTATAATTTAAGGGAAACACTTCAATTATAACACATCTTTCTGTCCAAAGCTACGTATTCACCTGTGATTCAATCGTGAATGACGATGTGCGATATCGGTATGAATGTGTGATTCAACTGTTCAGCTAGAGTCACGCTCACATCAAACTACCACCAATCGAGAGTACAATGCTGGAGACTCTGAACGCGATCTTAAGGTTATTCAAGCGGCGTTTTGTTGATTTCTCACTCGATTAAAACGCGCTTCGAAAACTACTCTTTCGCTCTCGGGTGCCATCGAAACTCTTTGAAAATATTCTTTCAAGAGTCTTCGAATTGAATCAAAACATGCTTCAAATGCAAATCGATTGGTCTCCTCTACAAACAAAGCTCATTTCAGATATAATTCATTCAGTCTCTCAAGTAATCGGAACTAATTCGACAAGCATGGTATATGTAAAGCTTTTTTTATTAAGCTAAAACACTACTCAAAATGAGTTCAATCTACCTCATGTGAGATTGAAGCACGTTTCGCAAACAATCTGTTGTGCTTCAGGTATGATTAAAGCTCGCACAAAAGAACGCATTAAGAGTGTTTGTATACAACTGAATGGGATTCAAAATCTCTTCCATTGGTTCTGTGTAATAAAAGCACACTACAAAAACAAACTCCTCGGTCGTGTATGGAAGCAAAAGTCCATCTGAGAAACACAGTAAGAGTCATCGTAGAGAAGGGTGTGGGTATGAGTACGAATATAAATGCTTCTACGTGCACCACACCCTTAAGACACTGGTCACTCCATGAACATTCGAGAAAATATTAGGAAACTGGAAGCAAGAACCCGATGATTGAATCTGCTAGCCAGCTTAGCCATATTACGGTTGCTTCCAGCTAGAACTCAGAAAATCTAGATATTGGATCCAATCATCGGATTCCTCGCCTCAAGTTCCTATCGATTTCTCGAGCTTTCCGGTTGAAAACACCCCGTATTTTTGATCCCCAAGTCGATGATTTTGGCCTCCGACAGTAATCGCATTTCACTGAAACCGGCAGGAAAGATGCGGGCAAGTCAACGTATCCAGCAGGAAATTATCGGAAATCACTGCAACTTGAAAGCAGTATTCCGGCTGGAAATTTACGGATTTTTCAGATGATTTACTGCTAGCTGCTGCCGGCAAGAACAGAAAGTTGGCCGGAATCCACCGGAAAAAATTCAAAAAAATTTTCACTTAAATACCGCTTCCACGCTCCAGCAATTTTCAGTATTTTTTCGCCGAAATCAGCCCATACTTCTTGACTTGAGCCTGAGAGCTTGGAAGCAGGTATCCGGAGAGTGGATCCGAGGGCCGGCTTTGTTTGGTTACCATCATTTACGGCCGGAAGTGGAAAATGCTAATGTCGGATCCAGTAACTAGATTTCTGCCTCCAAGTTCATACCGATTTTCCAGGTTTTTCAGCAGGATACGGTGTATTTTTCTGTATCTTCCCACCAAAATAACATGGATTTTGGAGTCAAAAGTATTGTCCTAGGTGGCCATTGTGTATGACACCTGTAGCATGCCCTGATACATCGTTTATGAGTGTTCTAAATGGCTACCGAAAACGGCTGTTGCCATTTGTCGTAATTGATAGCTATACGACCGTGTGAGATCGATCATGATTGGCCTGTAGGTTAAGGAGCGGTTAACGATGATGTACAATCGTATCTGATCGTCGTAATATTCGACTGAGATCTTTCTCCTATCTGTGAAAAAATAACTTTTTTTTGAGTTCATTAGTGATACTTAACAGAGACTTTCTAAACTTGTCCGTATAGATTCAAAGTATGGACGTGCCTCTACAATTGGTAAAAAACTCAACACATTTGCTCAACCCGTAATAGTAATATTCAATTTTCTCCTAGGTAAAGTGACCTTTGGTTCACTGTGTGTAGCGCAACTAGTGAATGCTAGATAAATGCCAATGCATATGTAAAGGCTTTATGATGAACAATAAATTTCCTCGGCAGATGTGTTCAAAATATTGACATTATACGACGACTTCATATGCATGAATTGTCAATAGCCTACTAAAAACACGCCAATTCATTTCTTGAAAGACTAACATACTATTTCATTATCTTGTCAGCATTTCTAATTGTATAGCTTATATATGAAAGATATATAGATGCCCTTTTCGATTTCTATAATTACATGGACTTTCAAACAATAATTCTTATTAATCTATGAAAGTTTACATCTTCTGAGCATGCACATATATACGCATGAAGAACAACAGAAGAAATGGTATCAGTAATTAAAAATCTTTCTTTTTCTCATACGCTGACTTGATAAACGATGCGAGGATGCTCGTTTGCTATTATGTATTTCTGAACTATCGCCATAGATCATAGCAACAAGCACATTAAATATCTATTATATATATTTTACACATTCGTTGTTCCATTAATTATTTGAATTTTCGAAATGTCAGTCGTATCGCCTGTTAAACTGACATCAAGACTAGATCAAAAAATGGCTGACGGTGTTGTTAGTGGTGAACTAACTAGGTTGAAAGCACAACAAAAATTAGCATTTCGCACATGTAATAACGTGTTGGTGATCTGCACTGCATTTTTTCTTTTATTTACTGCTTTCCAACGTATTGGAAATCTTCAAAGTTCACTGAATATAGATGCCAATATTAGTGTTAACTCATTATCAATTATATTTGCATGTCTTATCATTTCGTCTATCTTTTTACCTCATCCATTGATAGCTGTGTTTGGTCTAAAATGGACTCTAGCTATTTTTCAAGTACCGTAAGTTTTATGGAATTGACATATATTTTTCAAGAGAAATAATAGTGAGCGTAAGTGTGAATGAAGATTCTTGCGACTTTCTTCCTGCGTTCGCTCCATCTCATAGACCCTTACAAATGGTAGAAGATCGAAAGAGGCTTGGATTCGGTTGAAATTCTTGACTTAATCGGAAGAGCACTGACAGCTTTAATCACAAAATTCACCAGTGAGCAATTGGTACATTCAGAGCCATTAGTTAACATATTGATTTTCCCTAAAAATGTTTATTAAAATAGTTTTAAGTAGACTAACGATCTGAAATTTATACAGCTGTTAGAGTTTCTAATATTAGCAGCCCTTGCGTTAGTTGGTCGCATTCTATTTATGATAATACTTTGGCCTTAGGAAGAAGTCTTTCAGAATTTCTCATCTAATAGTGCACCAAACCAGTATTGAATGACGTTTATGCCCTGTTTTCCCTGTTTTTTTTTCGATAAAGATATAGTTTCTGTAACGATTTCTCGTAATGACCAATGAAGAAAGCACTTTTTTCTATCTTCTTTTTCTTATATCAGCACACACCCATACACTGACACAGGGCTTCCTTTATATACGAAGCGATGAATACAGAGAGAACAGTACAGAAAGATAAGAACAGAAAGAGAAGAACAACACGGTAAAGCCGAAGAGGTATAACAATGGAAGGGGTGAAAAGAGAAGAATTACACATGAGAAAAGTTGACAAGGAAAGGATCACACATATAGTGAGAAAGGTTGACAAAGTATATGGTCGTAGGAATGACAAGGAAAGGTGATCCATTCATTAACGAAAGAGTGAAGGTGAGGAGTATCGCATCATTGGCATTGCTTGGAATGTTACAGTTTGTTTACAAGAATCGATAATAGATGATGCAAAATTTCTCGGAAAATGTTGCTTTATTTTTGATCGTGCAGATCATAGCATATTTTGGATAAATAAAAAATACCTGTCCAAAATTTACGTTGAAAGGGCTATCTAACTGTATGTTCAAAAATTTCTAGGATGTCTTGCCTTAGCGTAACGGCTACGTTCTTAGATGACACTAAAATGTACTATACCTGTAAAAAAGCAACCCATCATGGCTGTGGCAGAAGGAATCAATCTTGAAGAAATGCCATAGTATTTTCTATCAGATTCGTAGGCGATCAACCGACGGATGTAATGAAACAAAGAGCAACAATATATGATGAAACGCAAAAGATGTATTCGAAAAATACTGAAATATCGCTCTCTTTTGCTGGAATCGTTGTGGTTTACTTTTTACGGAGTACATTTTAGTGTCATTTAAGCACGTGTCTGTTACTCAAAGGCAAGACATCATACAAATATGTTGAACATGTAATCAGAAGGGGCTTTCGACGTGGATTCTGCATAGCTATTTTTTATTTTTATAAGACATGATATTGCTGATCAGGAGTGAAACGGCATTTTTCCGAAAACTTGTGTATTACCCGTTCAGTTTAATGTTGACTGATTTGAAATCACTATTTAACACAAATAAAAGAATTCTAAAGTCGTATAAAGCTAATTATGTCGCTATGAAGGCAAACTGAATTACAAAGTTTTATTTTTATATCATGCGTCATATTTTTAAGTTTCTTAATTCTAGACAATATCACAGTTACATGAAATAGCCATGGAAAAAAAATTCGCAACGAAAGTGAATCATTTCTGATAGTTATGTAAGAAAAACAAGAGCTGAAACTGCTACCGATCGAAAGCTTCGAACTGCCGATTAAAATTAGCCCATGAAAGTTAGTTTGAAATGTTGAAGCAAAACCCTTTTAGTTTACACCAAGCTTAACATCTTATGGCTAATTAAATTTTCGGGGCCATAACCAATAGATTCTCTATGATCCAAGACTTTTTTCGTGTTTCGAAAATGCATGAAGTCAAAGTAAAGAGCTGTGATTTTGATGCTAGCTAGAAACTTTCGTACTTATATTTCTCGAGCATTGAAACCGTGAAAATCGATAAATGGAAGCAAAATAGGTTAGCTTCGGTGCTTTAAAGATTTGTTTAAAAAGAACGGCAAGAGTTGGTGAAAAGTAACTGATTTCAAAACGTAAACAGAATCGAGCCGTTAATTGCTAAACAAGAAAAATGGCCAGTTCGGTACCAATTCCAGATCTGGATCAGGACTATAGACCAAACGCGCTCTTCGTTTTGTGTTGAATATATTTAACAAATAAAAGCATATGAGTTTTGGCTAGAATGAACTTATTATAATAGGAGCGTCCATCCACTAGAATGTGCAAATAAATCTGATCCCATTTTGTTTTTTACCTAAAATGTCTCACAATATTCCATGTTTATGAACTCCTCTTGAAGCAGTTCATGAATCACCTGCGTAGAACTCAATTTACAGATTCGAATACTTATTCTCTATTGTTAAAACTGATAAGTATACTTTTTTCGCAGATATGCCTTGTTTGTGGCGGACAATTACAATCCAAAAGCCTAGTTTATGTATCCAGATAAAAAAGTTTGCATGTGTTTTTTTTACTAATTTCTACTTTGTTGGTAGTTGGCATATGAGTTGGCCTATGTATAGCACCTTTATGGACATCGAAATGTACTTATCTCACTGATATGGGATCATTGTATGCTGTGGAAAGTAATATCGACAAAAATGTGATCGCTAGTTGCTTTTTTGGCATGTTCTTTATGTTTTTTCCGTCGGGTTTATCTCATTCTTATTTTATACATAGCTTCATATAATACTATTTGTTTTGTTTATTTCTTTTTACTATCATGAAGGCCAAATTGGAGGCAATATTATATCATGTCTGGTACTTAAAACCAGAAACAAACCGTCTTCTGTCAATGGAACAGAAAACAAAACATTATTCGCATTTCAGAAGTATCAGAAATGTGAGGTCGATTTTAGCGAACAAGAATACAAATTGGCTGACATTGTGAATCAGATCGATCGGAAAACTGCATGACAAAAAAACATTCTTTACCAATATGAGCAAAACCTTGTTTTAGATTAATATTCTCTGCCTTATCTTCATTTTTATATGTATCTGTTCAATAGTAATAGTGATCCTATGTCTTGACCAGCGCCGTGCGGAATCTTACGGTATAACGTCGATGTTTTGATTTTCTCAGATTTCTCTTTCCCATCTTTAGATCAATTATCAGTAATGATTCGTAATTCTATTAAATTGTTGTCATCAACTGTCAAGCATTTGGGTAAAGTTGATCAGCTTCTTGTCATTCCATTGACTATATGGTCAGACCTCGAGCAATCTTTTCTTTGGAGTCAGTTTACTATTTACTAAGGTATGTGCTCACAGTTTTACTTGTTGAAAAAGTTAATTCATTCGTTTGTCAATTTTGACAATTAGTACGCTATTGCATGTGCATTCGATGCCACGTATATCGATTTCGTGTTCATTGCCTATGGAGTATTCGATTCAATTGGCAGTTTCGTCTTTGGTTTAATCGTCAAGCTAGTAGGGCGTTGGCCTTGTTTTGCCATTGCTACACTGATTAACTGTGTATTGATAATCATTATGCTTGTGTGGCGCCCTTCACAACATCAATTAATAGTTCTCTTTATCCTGGTGGGTCTTTGGGGTGTGGCTGATGCTGTCTGGCAAACGTAGATTAATGCATTTTATGGAATATTATTTCCAGATACTGACGAAGCAGTATTTTCGAACTATCGTCTCTGGGAGGCGGTCGGATTTTCTTTATTTTACTTCGTTACATCCTATATTCATGTTCGTCTTTCGCTCCTTCTTCTTCTCCTTTGTCTCTCGATAGGTATCGTTGGTTATGCGTTTGTCGAGTATCGACAGCAAGAAAATGAAAAGAGAAAAACGAATGCCAGAAACAATAACGTACCATCACCGTGAAAGTATTATGCAATAAAAAATTACTCTATTGATTTCTTGAAAATTTAACGTGATTCGTGAGGCTGCAGATGTGAGTGTGAAGTGTAAGTGTGGGATGTTGATGATGGTGTAGGAAAGTTTGCAGTGAGTATGAGAAGGTGTACTATGGATGTGGATGCTGGTGTCGATATTCTTCTCACCCACACCCTAATTTGGAAAGATAGCCAACATAATAATTTTTCAATTGTTTAATATACATGCAATGGTGCATAGAATCACCTATAGATATCATGGATATGTAAAGTAGACCTATTTGCCAATTAATTCAATGATCATAATAATACGAATATTAGATTAAGAAAAACGAATTTAAAAAAAAGGAAAACTAATGAGTAAATAACAACAATGCAAACAATAAATAGAGCATCAGTAGAAAAAACAAAAGAACTTCGGTTCGAAATGCAGAAACTAGAAAGGTGCTTTATCTGCTATTTGATGATCATTAGAAACAATTGAAGTCAACACGAGATTTTTCATTTTATGTATTTTGTATCAGTATAAGGAGACAAGAAAATATATATTCCAGTCCCAAATGTGTGGGCTAACAAGCTTTATTTCAATATGATATCAGAAAGCTTTCTAAATAGATAGAGACTATTCTCTACGGTTTAGTGATTTTGTCATTAACTATCAGTTTTTCTTCTTAAGAGGACATCGAGATCAATTTCAATCATTGATATGAAATTTTACCTAGCTTTCTATGAGATTATTTATTAAAACTAGATCAAATATTGATCTATACTTTCGATGTGTTAAATGAGAACTACTATATTAATGAAGTATTTAGCATAGTAAAATATAAAAAGATCAATTAAACGAAACAAGTTCTTTTCCTTTCATTGAAATAAGAAACTCGTTTAATATTAAAAGTTTGTTCACTTTTCCTTTCTGTGCATGTAATAAATCATTCTTTAATAAACAGTACCTGCTCATTATATAGATGAAAAAAGTTGAATCACTATGTAAAAATAAATAATCAGAATTAGAAAGTGAACTGGAAAATGTTCGACTAAAACAAGCTTATTAGCGCAACCTCGTTGGTGCTAAGAAGTGGAACTTATCTTATCGTCTTCAGTTTCA